GCCACTTCCGGCTTTTTTCTTTTTTCTTATGTGGTGCTGAGGAATGGAACCCAGGGCCTCATGCATGCAAGGCAAGCGCTCTACCACTGAGCCACCTTCCCAGCCCTGGTTTTTATTTTTAACCCACTGAGCCACCTTCCCAGCCCTCTGGTTTTTATTTTTAACCCATCAGTTTTACTTAATTAAAATTTTGGGGTAGTATCCTGTGTTTATAAGTGGTGTTCTGTGTTATCATTTTTAGTGACTGCATTGTAAGTAATTGTCTGAATGTAATATAGTGGATTTGGCCATGATCCCTAATAGATGTGTTTTGTATACGCACTATATAAAGTATATAAAGTATGTGGTTATCTGCCCCATGTAAATCTTCCTTTCCCCAATTAGGTAAAAGCTCCTTAAATCTATGCATCCTTGATTATTTATGTTTATAAATATTAGGCTTATAAGCACTGCTTATCATATAGTAATCATATAAACAGGATTATATGATTATCTTATTGAATATTTGGAACTCAAAACAATTTGAATTGAACAGAAAAGTTATCAGCTCCTATTGTTGAATCTCATGTCTTACCTCTTCTTTTTTTTTAAAGCACTGGATGAGGGAGATATCGCCTTGTTGAAAACTTATGTAAGTCCTTTAAATGCCTACAAAATGTAGATATAGTTTTATACATTTGTACTGTTTCTAATGTAAGTCTGGTACTATATGGAAAACATTTGAAATAATCACAGAGATGTTGACTTCACAATATATGTTACTGAGTTAGCTCTGAATTGGGAAGTTTAAATGCATGCAAATGGTGTATTTTCATTTGGTACCTTGTTTACTCGTGTATTAGGGGGAAATTTTGGGTTTAGGAAGTTTTAAAATGATACACTCCTTGTTTTTACTTCACAAGCTTTGTGACAATAAAAACCTGTAAAGATTGTAACTAATTTTTTTTTATCATTTAATTAAACCCATTAAGCTAAGTGACTATAGTCCTAGCTACTTAGGAGGCTAAGCTCTGAATATTGCAATTCAAAGCCAGCTCAGGCAGCAAAGTTAGTGAGACTCATCTCCAAGGAAAAACTACTCAGAAAAAGCCAGAAGTGGCTGTGGCTCAAGTCATAGAGCTCTAGCCTGGAGCAAAAAAGCTCAGGGTCAATGCCAAGGGCCTGAGTTCAAGCTCCAGGACCACCAATAAAAACAAACAAAACAAAATCTGTGAAGATTGAAACTTAAAAATCTTTTTAATCTTGTTTAGTTGTTGGTTTGTTGATGTTCTAACTAAATTGATCTTCATCACTCAGGGGCAGAGCACTTACTCTAGGCAGATAAAGCAAGTTGAGGATGATATCCAGCAACTCCTTAAGAAAATTAATGAGCTCACTGGTATGTACTTCTTTCCTGTTTCCTCTCTTTAAAGAATATGCTAATTAAAAGCTTGAAAACAAATTTTTTTTGTTTTTTATTTATTTATAGTGATGGAATTAAGGCTTGAAGTTAGGGCTTAGGCACTGTCCCATAGCTTTTTCTTTCAAGTTTTATTTTATTGTAAAAATGCTGTACAGAGGAGTTACAGTTACATGAGTAAGGCAGTGGACATTTCTTGTCCAGCATTGTTACCCCTTCCCTTGTTGTTTTCCCCCTAAGCCCTCCCTTCCCTCCTTTACCCTATCCCCACCTCTGCCTAAAGTTGTAAAGTTAATTTCCAATATGCTATCTGTGGGTATCATTGTTGTAATGGGTCTTCCTCTATCCTTGTTTCAGCATTTTGTTATTATACTTCCTCATGAATATTTAAATAAACATTACCTTTTATATCCGTTGAGATCATTTTAACAAATCTTTTTTTTGTCAGTCCTGAGAATCTTTTTTTTTTGTTAGTCTTGAGAACTGAACTCAGGTCCTGGGCACTGGCCCTGAGCATCTTTTGCTCAAGGTTAGCACTCTATCACTTGAGCCACAACACTACTTTCAGCATTTTCTGTTTATATAGTACTGAGGAATCTAAACACAGGGCTTCATGCATGCTAGGCAAACAGTATACCACTAAGCTACATTCCCAGTTTCTAACAAATCTTTTTCATTGATTTTTTAAATTTTAATTTTAATTAATTTATTATTTTTTATTTTTAGTGAACATACTGTACAGAGGGGTTACAATTAGATGGGCAAGATAATGAGTACATTTCTTATCAAGCATTGCAGCCTCCTCCTTTGTTTACCCTTCACATCCCTTCCCAGCCTTCCCCGCCCCCCCCAATTTTTATTTATTTTTTATTTTGAAAATACCGAATAGAGGGATTACAATTACATGGGCAAGATAATGAGTTATTATCAAGCATTGTTGCCTCCTCCTTTGTTTCCCCTTCCCATCCCTTCCCATCCCCCTCCCCCCCCAAAAAAAAAGTTGTAAAGTTCATTTTTGGACATAACAACTTGTTCATCTCATTGTTGCAATGGGTTCACCTGTATCCCTATTTAAACGATTTGTTTTTTCCCTTCCCTCCACAAATTATACCATCAAGGGCTGGGAAGGTAGCTCAGTGATAGAGCGCTTACCTTGCATGCCCGAGGCCCTGGGTTTGATTCCTCAGTACCACATAAGCAAAAAGAAAAAAAGCCAGAAGTGGCACTGTGGCTCAAGTGGTAGAGCGCTAGCCTTGAGCTGAAGAGCTGAGGGACAGCGCCCAGGCCCAGAGT